TACTATCACAATCACGGACGCTGAATTTCCATCTAACAACCCCAATGATATTCTCACAATTGCTGCTCACCTCCGAGATTGCCAATCCAATCATTCGAGCATCGGAGCTTATAGTGCTGCCATGAACTTCTTGAAGGACTATGTAGCTAAATTCTGCAGGTCTGACATCGACTTCGCACACTTGTTCAAGACAAAAAATATGTTTGTGAAGATAACTTATGAACTGTATGAAGCTCAAATCTTGGCAAAAGGTCCCATTGAAGAACCTAAGCTCGGATATGTCTATCTAAAGAAGAAGACCAACCAAAAAGAATTTTTCGGAGTTCTTTATAAACATCTCGTTCCTTCAAACATCCTTCAAAAGTTCATAGCCAATGCTGATAAAAGTGACACTCCAGAGAATGTGAAGAAGAAGTTCATTGATCACCTTAAATGGTATTTGGAATTCCGAAGATAGCTGCACAGTGCTTAACTTTTCGTATCTGAAGAAGCCAACTGAGTTGACTGATTGCTAAGTTCACTTAGGGGATATTGTTAGTGCTTGAAAAGTGAACATCTAGTAATCCGAATCAAAGCAGATCCAAAGTCACTCAAGTCCAAAATGTGAAGAGCTCTGAAGTCCTTTTAAATACGAGATGAAGATGTTCCGAAGTTTGAGTCTGTAAAAGCATTTAATTCTTTTTGTCTTCAGTTAATGTAACAATTCTTAGGACAATTTCAACAAATCTTGTAAGTGTCATATTTGTCAAACACTTAGTATTAACTAGTCCTTAGAATGTTTCTTGGTTTGTACCATGTCTCTCCTTTACTATTTAAGGAGTAGATGTTTTCATGAATATGTACCAAGAATAGAAGTAATCAATATTCTCTTCACACCATTTCAAACTCTCTTACAAGCCAAATTTTTTTCACTTACATTCTACTTATTCTAAATCGTATTTATTTTGATTATACTCGATCTTACTTCATTTACTTACTTGAATACTTTGTTGAATATTATGTTAAAGTCTTGACTGGTTTACCAGAATTGACTGGGCCAACTAATTAGAAGCAGACATTGATCTTAAAGTTTAATTCAAGGTTTGAGTTTTCAAACCTTGTCCGCACATTGAATTTTGTTCTCACAATTGGTATCTGAGCTTGAGTGGTTTTCCTTTAAATCCATAATATCATATTATAATTGATCTGAGGTTACCTTGGTGTCGCAATGTAACATACACATTCAGTTATCGTGTTTTGTAATTTTTAAAAGTGAATAATATAATGAAATAATATATGATTATAAGCGTTGAGTTCTAACAAATAGTTTTTACGAGAATTGAAGTAAAACTATGTTTAGAATCGTTGAGAAAATAATGGAAGTCTTAGGAGATTCCAATCAAATGTCAGTTATTGAAATTCATGAAAATATAAAGTTGAAAATAAGTAAAATTATATTATTGAAGGTTGTAAATAATATCGTTAGAAACATTTAGGTGAAAACCTCATTGAAATCCGAGTTATAACGAAGAAGTTATAGCTAATTGAAGTTTCGCGACAGAACCGACACGACGCCGTATGACGTAAAAAGTGAGTTTTTGATAAACTACTTTTTAGACTATATGATCTAAATGAAAGTCGTAGTATTCGTTAAACCAATAATTTTCATTAAAAGAACATCAAAATCTGACTTCGTGTGAGGAAGTTATGATTTTTGCAAGATTCGGTATATCAGTAGACAACTGAAAACTCGAAATAAAGATCGATAGAAATTTAGCCAACACAACCTAAACGAGAATCGAGGGTCTCGTTAATAGTAGTATAACGGTAAAAAGACAGACGAAAACGGACGTCAGATGAAGAAGTTATGAATTTTTTAACGTACTTATCTGTCCCGGCCTGTTAAAAATATAATATTAAAAATGATTTCGAAATTAGCCAACAGAGTCTAAACGAAAGTTGTAGAGCATAATTTCACCTACGTGTGAATATAAAGAACGTAAAAAACGGAGTTCGTATGCAAAAGATACGAATTTTTGAAGTTTATGGCACAAAATTCGAGGCTAGTCTGAGGAGGTACGCCCCGCGTATATATTTACGCCCAGCGTTCGCATGGTAGGGCCTCGGATTGACCACATCGCCGGTCTTCGCATGACAGCCACGTATCGGACACGTCCGAGCCACGTGCCCTCCCTTCCGAGAATCGGACACGTAGCCTCGTACGCCCCGCGTACAGCGAGACTACGCTTCGCGTAGTAAGCTCCTTCGGATCCTATAAATAGTATGCGAGATTGCCTGGTTTTAGTTTACAAATTCTTACATCTTTCACTCTTTACTCTCCTTTTTACCTACTTTTAACCCCCCGAAGCCCCGGTATCATTCCCGACACCCGAAGCAAGTCCAGACGCTCCGAAGTTCCCGAGAAAATTTTATTTTCAAGTCGAAACTCTGCCCGCGTAAGGCCGGTTTTCAATTAAAAATCCCCGGTTTCGTCAAAGAAAGTCACTTTTAGACACGAAGTGCTGCCCAAATTAATACTTTAACCCCCGGTTATTTCATGGTGAGTTCAATCTATAGTAACAATTGTATATTATGTGTTATATGTTCAATGTGCTTTCCTGTGTTATTCTGGTTTTATACCTTTGGCTATGTAAACATGACTTGTATACTAACGGAATACTAACGAGATTATACCTTTTACTTGAAGTGTATGACATAAGCATCACTTGGGTATTGGTATGTAGGCTCTGGCCGTGTAGAGCATGTCTCGTAAGAGAATTACTTCTACCACTATTGCATTGGCAGAAGGTTAGATAGGGCTAAAAGCCTGTGAAATCTACCAAAATGTTTATTCAGAAATTGGTTATTTTTCCATGCCATATGGACAAAAGTCTTATTGATGTATATCAAGTATTAAAATTGTTATGTTTCATTGATTGTAAATCTTTGAATCAGATTATTTGTTGATATGGAAAGCATGTCATATGATACTCATCTGCCTTTGTTGTTCTTTGTCCCCCTTTGTTCTGTCATGTTGATATATATACGGCATAACGTTATATTGTATCTATTATTGAACTCACTAAGCGTCACCGCTTACCCCTCTCAGTGTTTAACAATTGCAGGTAATGAGAATCCAGTATAGTCATATACTGTTGGAAGATTTAGAATAGTTTATACTATTACTTTTGTACTTGGGTTTATGTTTGTATAAAAAATTATTATAACCTGGGTAGTTATGTAATATACTAAAACTTAGTCGGTTTGTATTCAGTCTTTTGTAATCACATTATCAATGTAAAATATTATTTATAAATATACATGTAGCATGTTTTGGAGTAACAATATTGTGAAGTTTGAAAGTTTGGGTCTTTCAATCATGCACTACTAGAAAAACAGCCTTTTACGACGCGCAATGTGGGTCGTAAAACGCTCAGACGACGCGTGTCCAGGAAGGCCCTGTCATAACGAGAGACGACACGCTTTTGCGCGTCGTCTATAGACGACGCGCATTTACGACGAGCAGTTACGACACACATTTACGACGCTCATTTACGACACGCAATGCGTATCAAGGAAGGCCCTGTCATAAAGGAAGACGACACGCATTTGCGTGTCGTAACCTTACGACTCGCATTGTGTATCATTAAAGGCCATGTCAAGAAAGGCCATGTCATAAATGAAGATGACACACCTTTTTGCGTATCGTAATTTTAAATGTTTAAAAAAAATATTATTTATAGATCTACTAATTTTCAAATTAAATTTGTATTTAATGTCTCATAATAGAAAATAAAATATCATATACAAAAAATACAATCCATTACATAAAATTTAATGTCATACAAATAATCGTTCCATGGAAAAATAAAACAAATCAATAGAAGTTGTAACAAAAATTTACAAACTAATAGTTCTAATAACCTAATGTGTGCTGTAAACAAGATTTGTGCTGATTTTTTTTAAATGTGTGCCTCACTTGTCTCAACTCTTCCTTAATAACACCACTTAAGGACTCTAAACCTATGAACTTGCTCACAATATCTATATTGCCTGCAACAAAAAACATAACTACAAAATAAGTGTGAAGATGGATTATTACAGTGTAAGAGAAGTAAAGAACCTTGAGCTTCCTCCAATGGGACACATGGGTAGTCAGACAAAAGAACACGAGGTTCTTGGCGACACATTTGATCTGAGTCTCTGGAGTAACCGATCTTTGTTCTTTGGCTTGCTGAAGGAATTGGGTACTGTATCAAGCAACACACACTGTCAAATTTATATACTTTTTTATTTTTTTAAAGAAAGTGTTTTGATGTTGGAATTTTCTCTGTACTTGGGGCAGTGTTTGTTGGTTTTCATGTGACCAAACTGATGAATCAAACCATAAAATCATCACATCACAACATATGTAGACCATACTTGAACTTTGTATTTTATGTTAAAAAGGAAAAAGGCATAACAACTTATTTCCAACCTACATTAGGATAGATCACAACATATGTAGACCATACCTGACCACAAGCTCCATATGCAAAACTCTCTCTTGCATTTTTCTTTGTATTTCCAACCTACATTAGGATAGATCAAGCAACAACTTATTAAACAAAATTATGTTAAAACTTCATCTTGTTTTCTGTGTCAATAAAGAGAAAAAAGCAACTAACTTACTAACCTTCATAATATTCATTCCATCATTCAAAATTCTAAGCTTCTTATTTAGCAAACCACCAACTTGTTCAAGATCTTTTGGGCTTCATCTTTCCAGAAAAGTTCTTCCTGTAAGGAAACATTTCATCCTGCCACCCCACCACATGAACATCAATCACTAAAACTATATAATCTAAATATAAATATTACAAAACACGAGTCCCACATGATGAATACAGAGTTACAGACGTACATCTTTTAATGACTTCACAACATTATCATTTATAGAAAAGGATCCATTAGGTCGTGTAACAGCAGACATAGTTTTCACAGGTGTGTTGAGTCCCTTCAACCTCTCCTTATTTTTCAAATTATGATTTGACATAGGAGTTGCTCCCGTATCTTTCACTTTTTTTCTTCTTCCGATCTGCCTCGTCATCTCCTGAATCATAAATAAATAATTAAAATGGAAAATTTTAAAATAAAAATATAAAACATAACGAAGCTATTAGTTGATACCATCAATGAGCATTCTGCATAACTCAGCAGCTTCATCTTCATTTTCCACATCAGCTTGAGCTTGTGAAGGCATGTGTCTCATTTTAAGGCCTTTAACACCAGCCACCAAGTTATTAGAATCATAATCACTATGTGCTTCAATGTCGCTTTCGTTTTCTTCACCATCAACAACAGACAGGTTTTGAACTTGTCTATCCCAAATCTCCTGGCATTTTTCTCGTGTTTGATGTTGAAGCTGCAAGAAAGACATCCTTTGACCATCAACAGCAGACAGTTAAGTACTAAGTCCCTGTTTGGTTTTTTTTACCTGATTTGTACAAGCAACAAAGTTGCTGCTTAAATTCCAGGGAGTTATTTGTAATTCTCTCTCGATGTGGGAAGCAGCAGCTAAAGCAATTGCTTCATCAGGGAGCTGATTCATTGCAGAGGAGAGACCAGATGGATGAGTCATGCTGATTCCTAAACGTTTCAGTCTGTACATTCCAGCTAGCATGCTTTCAAAAGCACACACCTAACACACACACACAAAAAAAATAAGATAAAGATTAAAGAAAAGCAAAAAGTAAAAACATACATTTTCTGGTGTCACCATTCTTCTAAGCTCCTCCTCTAATGGAATACGGAAATTTCGCTTCATAACCCATGAACCCTTCTGGTGATTGGTTACATAAATGTAAAAACAAACTGTTAATATATCGCTATTATGGGTAATAAAAAAGTAAAGTAAAGAGTAAAATTTTACCTGAAAATCATAGAATAACTTTAACCTCTTCCTTAAAGAAACTTCAGCTACATTTGCAAACTGTGCAGATAACTCATTGGCACGAATGGCAGGTGTCAAGCCACGTTTTTGAAGAGCGCGAAACTCACGATACATATACACCAGAAGCCTATTCATATTATACATCTGAACACCTTTTGATACAGGGGACATCACCTCCATGTGAGGCTCCTATTTACATTACACATTTTAAATAAATAAATAAAGATAAAGATGGAAAAAACAAACAAACAAAGGAAAGATATAGGTCAAACCTGTTGACCAATAACGTAAATCCGGTCAATGCGTCTTAACAAGAGCTTTCCCTTTGGAGAGCAAATGAGTAAATAGTCAGTGGATGAGAGTTTATGTGGATAAATTGGAGCTCTGTACATATTTGTTTCAAGACATGATTGAGTTGAACCAGGCTTTATATCTCCTAAAAAAGGGGATTTATCAGCTGGATCGAGTGTAAGAATGTTCCCAAAATTGTTGGGCCCACTACGCAATTGGGTGGCTGTTTGATCACCAGGACTTGATTTTTGGTAATAAGTACACAATCGAGCACCCATTCCAGGGTTTCCAAGGAGTAAAGGCCTTTCCTCACAATACCTGATATAAAAAAAGAAAACAAACATTAGAAATGTCTGAAACTAAAAATAATGCATGATCTTGGAAGAACACTGACTCCATTAGAAAAGAATGACCATCTCTAGCTGAAAGATCTGATTTCTTTTTAAAAGATCCAGGAGGGCGTAAGGACTTGTTGTCACTAGGAAGTTTTTGAGCCCTTGGTAATAAATGTATTCTTGTACGAACAAGATGCAGCAAAGAATTTGGTCTAACATCTTGTTCAGCAAGATATTTTTCATCTTCAAGCTCCTTTCCAGAGTATATAATTTTCACAGGTTCACTTGGTTTAAAATCTACCAAAAAGAAAGGATAATTTTGTAAAAAAAAAATTAACTTCAACAGAAACTGTGGTAATATTATTATTAGCCCAAAAAAGAAGACCAACCAAGCTTCTTGGTAGCTTTTCCTTTGAGAGATAAAACAGTCTCCTCAGCATCTACATGAAGCTTGCTCCCTTTCCCTCCCAAGCTTTTCAATACAATTTTCATTGACCCTTTTGTAAGCAGCTTTCCTTGTTCTTTAAGTGCCACCACATTTTCATGAGGATACCATAAAGCTTTTGGCCTATGAAAATAGGCTATATCTTTACTGCAAATACAGTAAAAGAAAAATGAGTTGACAACAGAGTAAAAGAAAAACGACACTAGAGATTTTGTGGTTACTTGCTAAGTTTGGCTTTCATTGTCTGTAGCTTGAGAGTAGGTATGGAATGCAAGACTTTAACACCATGTGATGTGCGTTTCTTGGAATGTGATTTCAACTGTTGGGAAGATTTCCTGTTGGAATAGAATTTGTCATTAGCTATATTAAATCTCCCCCTCCATAACCATGTAATAGCTCCAATGAATCTGGTGCTGACTCAGCAGACTGAGTTGTGATCATGGCTCCAGCATGAAGCTGAAGATCATCTCCATCTTTGTTATCCAATATCTCAATAAGCATCTGTTCATCTTGAAGATCAAGAAGTAATTTTGGCTTTGTAACAGATTGATTCGGGTCCCACACTATTCGATCCATCCAAGATCCATCAAGAACATATTTATTGCGTAAAGTGAGTTTGTTGAATCGTTTAATGGTGTCGCTTTCAACTGTTGTATCTTTTTTAGCATCAGTTGTTTCCAATCGTGATTCTAATCTCAAAAGCTGGGGATGGTATATGGTTTCTTCAGATGAACTGTATGATTTTGGAGATTTTCTTCAACCTCTCTCCATCGGAGACCTGAGAATGAAAGAAGGAAAGAAATTACAGTCATTTTGAAAGAAATTTGAATACAAGAAAAAACCCTTTTTTATTTTATTTTTGAATAGACAAAAAAGCATATGGATACAATTCTCATTTGCAAGTTCTGGATTGCTTGCAAGATCTCTCACTTGCGACAAATTTAGGGTTAATACAAGCGGACTAATTGAGACAAAAAGTTGAACCCAAAACTTCAACCATATTACTGATCTCAACTCATTCACCCATGGAAGAGTAAGGTCTACACTGATCCTAATTACAATTGGTACTAAGCTTATCCGGAAACAGAAAGCTAGATAATGTCACAATTACATCAATTCGTTAACCATATTGCTGATCTCAGCAAACAGTATGTGTCACAATTATCAAGCATTTGCTTCAAATGGGATCAAAGACTTATCTTTAAATTTTGTATCTTGTAGATGACAACTTTGAAATCAGCAAACAAAGAGCTGAAAGGAATGATGAAAACTATGAAGATACAAGACATTGATGTTAGTATAAATATTATAAATCTCTTTCTTTTGATACTTTATAATTACAGACCATTTAATCTTGTTTTTATGTTTAGAATTTGCAAGATGAAATGATGGACATGATGGATATAAGCAGTGAGATACAAGAATCTCTTGGTAGAAGTTACTGTGTGCCAGATGATATTAATGAAGATGATCTCATGGGTGGTAAGCACAGATTTATTATTATTATTATTCTTTTTTTTAAATGTTAACTTCACTTTATGGAAATGTTTCAGAAATTGATGCTTTGGAGGCAGACATAGGTCAAGAAACTGAAGGTGAAGGGGTACCTTCATATCTTCAACCTGATAATGAGCCCGATCTGAATGAAGAACTTCAGCTGCCTTCAGCTCCAAGTGGATATGCAGTGCCAGCTGGCAAGTTAACAATCAGGTAACTTTTTATGCTCAAAATTTGAAGTATAATATTGTAGTAGTCATTAACTAATGTAGCTCCATTGCAGCCCATTAAATCCAGAATTTAGGTCAGGAAAATCAGACTCTTAAGTTTATGCTCAAAATAGTAAACATGTGGATATGTGTGTGGTGCTGTGTGCGACTGTGAATGTCTCACCTGAGCAATAAAAAAACGAGAATAAGGGAGATGGAACGGAGCGTACCTGAGATGCTTAGAGAGTAGAATTGGTGATCAAGGAAGGAGGAGGAAATCATGATTAATATCTGTATCGCTTTTCCAATTAGGGTTTTACAGAGGAGAATACGAGAAGAATCAAAATCGAAATCAGAGGTATGAATAAAGGAGAAATAAGAACCTGGATCTTTTCTTTGACATTCTCAATGGTATCGTTGCTCTCATCAAAATTAAAGAGGGCTAAATACAAAGTTGGAGACAGAGATTGTATGAACTCCACACTGACAACGGAGGGTGTTAAATATATAACCAAAAATAGAGGATGGCCGTGGGAGACACTCAGAAGGGTCGAACGGTCGTCTTTCATTGGAAGTCGACGGCGGTGGGAGACACTCGGAAGGGTCGAAGAATCAGCAGATGGCGGAAGGTGAATGGAGGTTTGAGAATCGAGAGAGAAGAAAGAAAGGGGGTTTTCGGTGGGGATGAGCTAGGGTTTTCAGCCGTTGGAAACAAAGCGGGCTTTTTAATTTTTGGATTTCATTTCCCCTTCGGATTAAACGCGCGTTTCATTAAAATTTATAAAGCGACATGGTTAGACGACACATATTTTATTTAAGGTTCCCTCCGTGTTTCTTTTAATAGACACTAATTTTAGGGCACGCAAAACTGCGTGTCCTCTATGGTTCATATTTTGGAAAACTGACATCAATTTTTAGGGCACTCACAAATGCGTGTCCTCTATCAGCGCGTGTCATTGATTGCGCGTCGTAAAATGCTGTTTTTATACTAGTGATGGTATCAGAGCAGTAGTTTAAGTGAACTAAATACTACATATTAGTATTTAGACTTAAACTATTGCAAGTTAAATATATGAACGGATTCATTGTAAGTATATGGATACAAACCATAAGAAAGATTTAAGTGGGGTATTGGGTAGTGATAAACCCTAGTATTCTAAAATATTAAGTTACTTCAAAAATTTTCATAGAATTAGTTTAAGTGAACTAGGAATTTTGAGAAATTCTAGACTTAAACACGGATTGCTAAGTGATGATGATACAATGTGTATCTAGTATATTTTAGGTTGAATGCCTAAATGGACACAAGCACTAGAATATTTTGGAGATATGTCTTATATGCTAATATGTGCTAAATGATAAATAAGTATAGCATGCCTTAGGTTGCTTACCTATATTGCTATTACTTGAGAAAGTTTAAGGTCTGTTACTAACCATTGTATGGAAGAGGAAATTTTATGTATTCCAGATTCTAAAATTTCTGTATTAGAACTGATATGAAACTTTAGAATTAATAAAAAGACTTATAATAGTCGATATCGATAATTTTATAGATAAACGATCGAGAGATATCGTAAAATAATATTTATTAAGTGATATCGTAAATAGTGTATTAATACCTATAGAGTAGTGTTGTACATTCAAACTATGCTTAATGAAATAATAACACCGTTGGAAGAATGTTGTGCATTCGAAGTACATTCGGACAAGATGAATGCTTTGGCATAATCGATGAAGTTGTTCCACTGCTGTCCAGATTGAAGTAATGATTGCTTATAGAGTAGGAAGAACCAAAGATGGTGATAAATACTTCGACAGTATCAAAATTGATGTTGTGCAGGATTTAGAAGACTTCAATGAAAATTAAAAAGGAAAGATTGATAAAGTTTCCAGACTTAGTATTTAATAGTACTGAGTGACAATTGACTTCTATCATATCCTTATGAAAGTTCCATTATGTGTTAAGTCGACTTTAACATACATGATTAGGATGGTGAAATAGGTTATTTGGTGGTGAAAAGGCTGAGTGACTTACTTGTTAGAGTAAGGTAGAGTACTTAGTTGAAGAAGATATACACTCATAGTATTGTATGAGAAGAGATGTTGTAGTTAGGAATGACAGAGAACCAAGTTGAAGCTAGTAAAACATGCTGAGATGCATCTATAATGCGGACTTCCTTGGATAGACTCCTATGAAGTAGACTTAAAAGATACACCCATGAGAAGAAGATTCACTCGTATACAGGAATGACGATGTCGTGGAAGGATAGTGAAATGAACAAATATGCATGATGACTTGCATGAGTTAGAAGATGATGCAGGTAGTTGGAAACCGTTTGTCTCCACACTGCTAGAATAAATTTTGGTGTAGTGTGTCTTGCAGAGTAGACACTACCCGAGAAAGAATTTATATGAAAAATTTGGAAGTAAAATTCCTATTAATCTAGGAGAAGTATTAGGATATGCTAGATCGAGCATATGCGTAAAAAGTATTCTAGAAGGCGAGTATAAGAAATCCAAGATATGTTTGATAGAAATGCGAAATCCTTAGTTGAGTCTAGAAGAAATTGTTGTAAGTACTTGTTTGAATACATTCATGTGTGATAAGTTGCTTTGTGAAAAAACTTTTGAATGGTGACTTGGAAAACTGCGAGATAATACTTGTGATGAGTATGAGTAGGTGTGAATAGTAGTAGAGGCCTATACTACTGGAAGCACAAGACTCACACTTGGATCAGGGAAAGTCACAAGGTTACCAAGAAGCTAGAAATTGATTCCGTTTTTGTTCAAGTATGTCATTACCTTTGTTTCGGTGATGACTAAGAAGACAATTTCCGTTTGAACCTTAATGGTCATAAAGAATCGAGTCCGATTAGTATAAATACGCGAAGTGAGTTGAACCTGAAGAGATCGTAAATGAAAAAACGACTGAGTTACGTAATAAAGAAGTGGAGTTGGTGGTTGTAAATTGAAAACACCATCGAGGCCCAAATTATACTTTGGAATATAAGAATGAGATAAGAGCGAAATATCCCCAATTGTTTAAATCGTTGTGATTTCGGGGACGAAATCCTCAAAAAGAGGAGGTATTTGTAACATACACGTTCAGTTATCGTGTTTTGTAATTTTTAAAAGTGAATAATATTATGAAATATTATATGATTATGAGCGTTGAGTTCTAACATATAGTTTTTACGAGAATTGAAGTAAAACTATGTATAGAATCGTTCAGAAAATAATGGAAGTCTTGTGAGATTCCAATCAAATGTCAGTTATTGAAATTAATGAAAATATAAATTTGAAAATAAGTAAAATTATATTATTGAATGTTGTAAAGAATCTCGTTAGAAACATTTAGGCGAAAACCTCATCGAAATCCGAGTTATAACGAAGAAGTTATGGCTTATTGAAGTTTCACGACAGAACCGGCACGACGCCGTATGACGTAAAAAGTGACTTTTCGATAAACTACTTTTTAGCCTATATGATTTAAAGGAAATTTTTAGTATTCGTTAAACCGAGAATTTTCATTAAAAGAACGTCAAAATCTGACTTCGTATGAGAAAGTTATGATTTTTCTAAGATTCGGTATTACAGTAGACAGCTAAAAACTCGAAATAAAGATCGAGTGAATTTTAGCCGACACAACCTAAACGAGGATCAAAGGTCTCGTCAGTAGTTTTTCAATGGTAAAAAGACAGACGAAAACGGACGTCGGATGAAGAAGTTATGAATTTTTAACGAACTTATCCTGTCCCGGCCTGTTAAAAATATAATATTAAAAATGAAGTAAAAATTAGCCAACGGAGTCTAAACGAAAGTTGTAGAGCATAATTTCACCTACGAACATCAAAAACGGAGTTCATATGC